CCAAGGGAGAAGGTCTGAGGCAGTGACCCCGGCAGATGCCATAGTGGGCTGGAGACCTGTATGTAAGCAGGCAGGTCGGAGGTGAGACAGCGGCGGGCCGAGGGCAGCGGTGAGGCCAAAACAGGACAGAACCACAGGTGGCGAGTCGCTGGGGTGCAGGGGAGGACGGAGCCCCAAGACCACCCGCTAGGGACTGCGCCAACTCTGGTGGCTACCCCAAAGGAGGACCCCCACTGAGATTACATTCAAAGTCATGGCAGGCGGGGTTAGGGGTCCTCCCGACCTCAACAGAGGTAGCCTTCGGGGCCCATCTGTAAGCCCGGGGTCCATAAAATCTAGGGACCGGGCGAGGGCGGCGTGGGAGCACCTGCTAGAGCGGAGGCAGGTACACCTGGGGTGGCCCCAGCAGCCTTACCTGGAGTCCTAGGGGCCCCCAGCAGGAGCCTGGCCAACAGCCAGAGAATGGCTCTGGCATGTGCAACACCCCGCTTCTTTTCCGCACACTTTTTTTATACTCGGATTTCCTGATATCTAAATTTGGTTTTGTATTGCAAATATGAAGCATAGAAAATGAAGTCATGTGCGCAGGGTGCATTTTGCAGTGCCTCAAAAGCCTTTGGGGTGCTGCAAAATGCACATGCACACCCATGAGGACATGGCCAGAGAATCTAAGGGCCAAATCCTCCAAGTGATGCCTAACTGCTGCTTGATTTCAAAGGGAACCTAAGGTACCTAAAAATAACTTTGCAGATCTGGGCCTAAGTTTCTCGCTGATGTCAACAAGAGTTTTACCATTGACATCAATGGGGACAGGACTGCACTCTTATTATTCATATTTATGGGGGGGTTGAAGAAAACTAGAATCCATGATTTCTGATGCCCATTTCCAAACCTCTTAGCATGACCAGACACAATACAGCCAGTACCAGCACAGATCTTCCCCCATGTCGCCACCTACTTCTTCTGTTTCATTTGCTGCTTGTAGCTGAAACTAGTCATTGTGAGCACTTTTAAATGTGCTCTGGGGGTGGGGGTGACACTTTAATTAGAGCAGCTCCAAGAGCCACTCTAATTAAAGCACCACAGCATCTCATGTATCAATGTCTCCGCACTTCATAACGGGAGCAGGGACACTTGAACTAAAGCTCGTTCAACAAGCTTTAGTTCAAGTGCCCCCACTGCCATGTTGAAGCATAGGGACACTGATACACGAGATGCAGGAAGTCACTGGGGCACAATAATTACCACGCTCCAGCAGACTTGATTAACTGTATTTACTCCGACGCACTGGAATTACAGTGCGTTGGAGCAGCCTCTGTGCTTGTGTATAAGCACTCTGTAATTGCAATGGTTTTTAGAGACAGAATGATCTTATGGCTTGAACAAAGGCTAGGAGTCACCAACTCCCAAATCACAATCTTAGATCTCACAGTCATTTGCTACATGGCCTTGGTTAACTGATTTTACCTTTCCATGTCTGTCTCCCTATATGTGGAGTTGGGATAATAATATTTGCCTCAATGCTGCCCCACAGAGGTCTTTTTAGCATTCTTTAAAGTTTCTTCAGCCCTTTAAAAAAAACAATATTAGCATTTATTTATATTTTCAATCTTTTTGTTAAGCAATTTAGAATGTTGTATGAAAGACACTGTATACAATACCTTTGTATTATACTTATGTTGTTTTTAAATTAGCTTATTTACAGATCAACCCCTCAACAGCATATGGAAACATCCAATTACATGGCTTTAGGAACACTCCATTTCACCTTCAACAATATTTAAAAGTTTCACTGTTTAACAAAGATAAACAAGCCTGAAATTGTATCTAAAAACAGTTAAAAATGCAAGGATTCCAGAGCAGTAACTTGAGAGAGTTTTCTCTCTGTCAAGCTCAGAAACAGAACACCCATAGGTAATTACAAAATAGTTAAAAGTGTGCTGCTAAGGTAGTTTCATTGAAAGTTTTATGGAAAAATCAATAGTTTAAAGCTGAATGCTAGATAGCTACAAGGGCAAACAGGGCTTTTTGTGCTTATTCACACTTTCTAATCAATATGAAGTTTTTGAAAATCTGGAGAAATCCCAACAGAACACAGACTCTCTTATTCGTAGATAAAACTGAATAGCCAACATTTAAAGTCTTTTTACTACAAAAAGTTCATATGAGAACATTCTTTCTTGAAAAAGGAGATCACTTAGTTTAAGCAGCATAGAAAAGCAGGAAAAAATCTTTTTATTTATTTTTAAGTATATTGGTATTTCTTGAAACATAAATGAAAAAAAGCCCAAATCATTTGGGGCCAACTTGGTCCCTGTGCTAAAATCAATAGCAAACTTATTCTTTGTTTCAGTAGGACCAGGGCTTAACTTGAAAACATGTGAAATTCAGTATTTGATTAAGTTACTAAAGAAAGAAAATTCAAGGAAAGAGAGATATAATCCAACTGAAAAGGCTTCCTCCCATTATCACACTTCCATTAGCAGGATCAAACATTGTCTCCAGATTCATTATTGACTGCAATGTTATGTCAAATGGAACCTGGCAAAAGACAGAGAAAACATTTATTTAACAGTTTGATAATGTTATAGATGGCAAAAACATATTTGTCAAAAATCAGATTTCCCAGCTACAACTAAGGGATGCATTTCCTATATTCATTTCCCATAAAAAGCATTGGACCCAATGGCACCCGTGCGGTAAAACCTGTGGAAGGTACTTGATTTATTTACTAGGAAAAAAAGAGAGAGAAAGAGAAATTGAGACATGATAGTCATTCTCTAGTATATAGAGTATTTCTTAGTTCTCTATTTCCATTTGAGGTAGAACAAGAAGCAAGCAGTGGAATTTGCTGCAAGTATTCTTCTGGTTAGATATTAGTGCAATCTTTTTAACCAACTGTAGAGTAGCAGGCTACCTAGAATCATAGAAAATTAGGGTTGGAAAGGACCTCAGAAGGTCATCTAGTCCAACCCTTCGCTCAAAGCAGGACCATCCGCAGCTAGATTGTCCCAGCCAAGGCTTTGTCTGGCCGGTTCTTAAAAACCTCCAAGGATGAAGAGCCCTCCACCTCTCCAGGTAACCCATTCTAGTGCTTCACCACCCTCCTAAGTGAGAAGGCTTTTCCTAATATCCAAACTAAACTTCCCTTGCTTCAACTTGAGAACACTGCTCCTTTTTCTGTCATCTGCCACCATTGAGAAATAGCTCCATCCTCTTTTGAACTGCCCTTCAGGTACTTGAAGGCTGCAATTAAATCCCCTCTCAGTCTTTCTTTTCCAGACTAAATAAGACCAGTTCCCTCAACCTCTCCTCACAAGTCATGTGCCCCCATCCCTTAATCATATTTGTTGCCCTCCGCTGGACACTCTCCAATTTGTCCACATCCTTTTTGTTGCCAGAGGCTCAAAACTGAATGCAGCACTCTAGATGTGGCCTCAATAGTACCGAACAGAAGAGAAGAATCACTTCCTTCAGTCTCCTGGCAATGCTCCTACTAATGCAGCGCACTATGCCGTTAGCTTTCTTCACACCAAAGGCACACTGTTGACTCGTACTCAATTTATTGTGCACTGTAACCCTCAGGTCCTTTTCTGCAGAGCTGCTGCTTAGTCAGTTGGTCCCAAGTCTATAATGGTACACAGGATTTTTCTGTCCTAAGTGCAGGACTTCACACTTGTCCTTGTTGAATCTCATGAGATTTCTTTTGGTCCAACCCTGCAAACCTACCCTCCAGCATATCTATCACTCCCCACAACTTGGTGTCATCTGCAAACTTGCTGAGAGCGCGCTCTATCCCATCTTGTAGGTTATTGATGAAAATATTGAACAAAACTGGCCCCAGGACTAACCCCTTGTACACTCTATTTGATACCATCTGCCAGCTAGACATTGAGCCATTGACTACTACCCTCTGAGCCTGATGATCCAGCCAGTTTGCTATCCATCTTACAGTCCATTCATACAACCTGTACTTTTTTAGCTTTCTTGTGAGAACATTGTGGGAGACCATATCTAAAGCCTTGCTAAGTCAAGGTATATCAGATCCACTTCCCACATCCAGAGAGCCAGTCATCTCATCATAGAAAGCAATCAGGTTGGTCAAGCATGACTTGGCCCTGGGTGAATCCACGCTCACTGTTCCTAATCACCTTCTTCTCCTCCAAGTGCTAAGAAATGCATTTCTTGAGGACCTGCTCTGTGATATTTCCAGGGACTGAGGTGAGGCTGACAGTTCTGTAATTCCCCTGATCCACCTTCTCTTTCTTAAAGATGGGCACTATATTTGCCCTTTTCCAATCATCCAGGACCTCTCCTCATCGCCATAAGTTTTCAATTATGATGCCTAGCAGCTGTGCAATCACACAGTCAACTCTCTCAGCACCCTTGGGTGCATCCCATCTGGGCCCATGGACTTGTATATAGCCAGCTTTTCTAAATAATTCCTAATCTGCTGTTTTGCCACTGTTGGCTGCCCACCTCCTTCCCCAAGTGTGCTGCCAGGTGCAGTAGTCTAGGTGCTGACCTTGCTTGTGAAGACTGAGATGAAAAAGGCTTTGAGTACTTCAGCCTCTTCTGCATCCTCTGTCACTAGGTTGCCTCCCCCATTTAGTAAAGGACTCGCACTTTCCATAATCCTCCTCTTGTTCCTGACATACTTGTAGAAACCCTTCTTGTTATTCTTCATGTCCCTTGCTAGCTACAACTCCAATTGCACTTTGGCCTTCCTGACTTCATCCCTGCATGTCCGAGCAATGTTCTTACATTCTTCCCTAGTTGTTTGTCCAAGTTGCCACTTCTCATATGCTTATTTTTTGTGTTTTAGCTTACTGAAGAGTTCCCTGCTAAGCCAAGTATGGTCTTCTACCATACTTACTAGCCTTCCTGCACATCAGGATGGCTTGTTCCTGAGCCATCAGTAAGGTTTCTTTAAAGTCCAGCCAACTCCCTTAGACTTCTCTCCCTCTCAGACTGGCCCCACAAGGGACCCTGCCCATCAGTTCCCTGAGTGAGTCAAAGTTTGCTTTCTTAAGCCCAGGGTCTGTACTCTGATGCTCTCCTTCCTCCGTTTCCTCAGGATCCTCAACTCAATCATTTTGTGATCACTGCTGTCCAAGTTGCCATTCACCACTACATTCCCCACCAGGATTATGAACGGTCCTTTCATAGAAGGATTATGGAATCCCTTTTCACTGGAGGTGTATGAGAACAGGGTAGGCAAACATCTGCTAGGGATGATCTAGGTATATTTGATGGTGCCTTAGAGTAGGGGAAAGGATTTTATGACCTTACAAGGACCCTCTTCATCTCACCTGTCCTTGACTGTATTGGGGATGTGCCCTATAAATCTAGGGATCTTCACATACCAGTAGGAAATAGACCACAAAAGAAGGATCTGTTAATTTATTTAACATAATATATTCAATGCACAGTAAAGTGACCACAGGACATTTCAAAATTATATTGTCTAGATAAAATCCTTCCGTTAAAAACAATCTTTTGAATGAAGGTTGTATTAGAGTGATTTTGTAGCCATGACAGTCTATGAATTATGTGAGAAGCAAGGATTTTTTGGGAGTGATATCTTTTATTGGACCAACTGCCTCTCTTTTGAATGAATGGAATTTTTAATCAATAAAGCATCTGCTCACAGGCCTCATTCAAGTCAGTGCACCAGCTGGTCCCTCTCTCCATAATTCATTACCATAGGAAAAGGAGCCACATTGCCAGGAAATCCCACTGGCAACAGTTCCCCACAAAGTTCCAGTGCCAAACTCTTAGGGGGCCCTCCCGTGGGATTACTCTCAAGACAGTATTACCTTTCCAAAATAATATCAGTGGGAGTTGTGAGAGGATAACACTTTCCCCAGCCAATGTGAGACCACCCACTCCTCATTAGTCTTTGAAAACTAGATCAGCTTTAAAGCTACTGTTTAAAAATTGCATTCACCCACAAGATTATTTTTAACCATACAGTTTACATAGACATTAACTTTTGAAATTTATAACTGAATGTCCTTGGTGTTCTGCATCATTTCCCATGGACACCCAGCTATTTATGGAATGCATTACTTTGAAACAAATGAACTGATCCATCTTTTATTCTCAAAAGATGAACACTCATTTAATCCAAAATGAGTGAGTCAATGAAAATGGTCTTTGTTCTAATAAAAAAAACCTAATCCAATGCTGAAGCAAATGAACAAAGGAACAGAAGTTAAAAAAAGGAAGACTGGAAACCTCGATGAGTAACAAAATGTGACTTGACAGAAAAAAGGTTGGGGTTTTTTTTGTTTTTTTTTAAGCCAACTATCAGATAATCTCTCTCTTGTAAACCAGCGTCAAAACTGCTTTGCTAGTACAAGGAGCTCTGGAACTATATTTCTGAGATGAGATTCAATGCTCTGGCTTTAGTTATGAGAAGAACTAGATACCTGGTTTAAAAAGAGGGTAAGGATAAGAGGTCAATTATTCACATAGAGAAAAAGAGGGGGATGCCTCCTCCATTAGTCATTAAGATGAGAGCAGATGCTGGACAAAGTCTTTGAGGATTAGTGGTGAGCTGGCTGGGTTTGGATGGATTTAAAGCTTCTTCTCTGATTTCTCAGCTATAACAACTGTGGTTTCTATTACCACCTGAGATCCACTTCAGATGTAAGTGGAATCGGTAAGCTTCTACCAGACAGACTTGAGAAACTGTAAAGTTCTGATCAGGCTATTGATAGTTTGGTAAGGTTTTATAGTGGCTTTTGGCTTTCTACTATGTTTCTTAGCCAGCTCATTGCCATGGCTGTTTGTAAGTTTACAGGAAATCTGAAAAAAAAATTAAGCAAGGAATGAGATCCCTAAAGAAAGGCAGAACACAGCTGGTTGCTGAAGTATTATGCCAAATCTGGCTGACAATTTTTTTTTAAGGCGGTACCCAATTTGTTTTTATTCAAGTTAATATGGCTGAAGACTTTAAAACTGGTAATGAGATTACAATCGCTATGCAGATGTCTTTTGGAGAAAAGGATCACTGCAACTGGGTAATAGCTTGAGCACAATAATATCATAGACAGAAAAACGACAATCGTCCTCCCCAAGAATTCTAGTAGATAGGACAAGAAGGAGCCATAGAGAACACGAGGAAAACTTGAATGACTGGTAGGGCACAAAGTTAAATGTAAAGATATATGAACCTATTGTACTAAAGAGTGCTAGAAATTTAGTGGAGCCTGTGGTACGGATGTAGCTCTTGAAAAGGAAGGAGAAGGGAAAGATTAGGCAACTTTATTGCAAAGATGAGCTGTTTTTAGTTGTCTGATTTTTCTGTTGCATAGCAGCAGGAGGTTGTTGCTCACATATTGACACTATGTAGCTTTAAATCATGCAAATGTATATCTATTGTGGTTGTACAGATCACTAGTTAAAAGCAACAACAGGAGAGAAAATAGAAATACAAGCATCACTATAATTTGTATTTCAGTTGCTCAAAGAATTATGGTTCATTAAAAGGGGTTTCTGGTTTTGTTTTTTTTCAAATCAGCATATCATACCTCAGTAAGTGGCTGCAATAGATCTGGAACACCAGACAGCAAAGCTTTTACTTCACACAAACATTGCTTAACCATTTCCTAATGGTACAAAATAAAAAAATCAATGCTGTATGTTCAGTTTTCTTTGATGAACTACAATATAGTAGATTCTTTAAAAATCTTATTCAGTGTATCCAATTATTGAATTACTGCCTGCTAGGACAGAACTAAAAATGTTACGAATGTTTATGTTCTACTTGTTAACAGAGGAGAGACAACACAGAGCAATGGTTCCCAAACTCAGGGTTGCATGGCTTTACAAGACAGCAAGCCCCACAGAACCCCAAATATTCCCAAGCCCACAATTATCTAGAGCACCCTTAATTAACAAGTGCAACACCTCAGCTTCTCCATGGTGCTTGTTCCAATTTCCCTGTAGCATGTGAAAGCTTAACTTGTTTGTTCAGGGATAAGCTACCCCAGTCTAGCTTTCACCAAAGGGCAAAATCAAGCACAGAGACAATTACAATAGAGTAGCTCAGGCATGGTAAAGTTTGGTCTCCATGAACAGTTGCTATTATTTTGATAAGTCACTGTCTCCTGATAATTTAGGACATAAGACTTTTCTCTTTAATTACCAGGGGCAGATATTTACTTTCCCTCAGCTGCTCTGCAGTAATGTTCCCTGTACTCTTTATTACCACACAGGGGGCACATCTACATGCCATTTACTGCAGAGTTGCCTAATTAGCTTTGCAGTAAAAGTCTTAGCATCTACATGTGGCCCTATTAGGCCATAGTAAACTGATAAATGCCACCATAGGTTAGTACTTGGAAATACAAGCATTATCCTGCAGCAGCATTATTTAGTGTGCCACAATGCACATGTAGATGCTGATGGGGCTGACTGGGGCATGAAGGTGCTTCAGTGTGGCTGCCTGTCAGCTAGCCCCACACTGGAGCACCCTTGTGCCCCAGCCAGCCCCTATGCAGCATGTTGAGCTGGGCCAGGGCAGACCTGGGTGGTTTAAAAAGAGGGTAAGGATAAGAGGTCAATTATTCACATAGAGAAAAAGAGGGGGATGCCTCCTCCATTAGTCATTAAGATGAGAGCAGATGCTGGACAAAGTCTTTGAGGATTAGTGGTGAGCTGGCTGGGTTTGGATGGATTTAAAGCTTCTTCTCTGATTTCTCAGCTATAACAACTGTGGTTTCTATTACCACCTGAGATCCACTTCAGATGTAAGTGGAATCGGTAAGCTTCTACCAGACAGACTTGAGAAACTGTAAAGTTCTGATCAGGCTATTGATAGTTTGGTAAGGTTTTATAGTGGCTTTTGGCTTTCTACTATGTTTCTTAGCCAGCTCATTGCCATGGCTGTTTGTAAGTTTACAGGAAATCTGAAAAAAAAATTAAGCAAGGAATGAGATCCCTAAAGAAAGGCAGAACACAGCTGGTTGCTGAAGTATTATGCCAAATCTGGCTGACAATTTTTTTTTAAGGCGGTACCCAATTTGTTTTTATTCAAGTTAATATGGCTGAAGACTTTAAAACTGGTAATGAGATTACAATCGCTATGCAGATGTCTTTTGGAGAAAAGGATCACTGCAACTGGGTAATAGCTTGAGCACAATAATATCATAGACAGAAAAACGACAATCGTCCTCCCCAAGAATTCTAGTAGATAGGACAAGAAGGAGCCATAGAGAACACGAGGAAAACTTGAATGACTGGTAGGGCACAAAGTTAAATGTAAAGATATATGAACCTATTGTACTAAAGAGTGCTAGAAATTTAGTGGAGCCTGTGGTACGGATGTAGCTCTTGAAAAGGAAGGAGAAGGGAAAGATTAGGCAACTTTATTGCAAAGATGAGCTGTTTTTAGTTGTCTGATTTTTCTGTTGCATAGCAGCAGGAGGTTGTTGCTCACATATTGACACTATGTAGCTTTAAATCATGCAAATGTATATCTATTGTGGTTGTACAGATCACTAGTTAAAAGCAACAACAGGAGAGAAAATAGAAATACAAGCATCACTATAATTTGTATTTCAGTTGCTCAAAGAATTATGGTTCATTAAAAGGGGTTTCTGGTTTTGTTTTTTTTCAAATCAGCATATCATACCTCAGTAAGTGGCTGCAATAGATCTGGAACACCAGACAGCAAAGCTTTTACTTCACACAAACATTGCTTAACCATTTCCTAATGGTACAAAATAAAAAAATCAATGCTGTATGTTCAGTTTTCTTTGATGAACTACAATATAGTAGATTCTTTAAAAATCTTATTCAGTGTATCCAATTATTGAATTACTGCCTGCTAGGACAGAACTAAAAATGTTACGAATGTTTATGTTCTACTTGTTAACAGAGGAGAGACAACACAGAGCAATGGTTCCCAAACTCAGGGTTGCATGGCTTTACAAGACAGCAAGCCCCACAGAACCCCAAATATTCCCAAGCCCACAATTATCTAGAGCACCCTTAATTAACAAGTGCAACACCTCAGCTTCTCCATGGTGCTTGTTCCAATTTCCCTGTAGCATGTGAAAGCTTAACTTGTTTGTTCAGGGATAAGCTACCCCAGTCTAGCTTTCACCAAAGGGCAAAATCAAGCACAGAGACAATTACAATAGAGTAGCTCAGGCATGGTAAAGTTTGGTCTCCATGAACAGTTGCTATTATTTTGATAAGTCACTGTCTCCTGATAATTTAGGACATAAGACTTTTCTCTTTAATTACCAGGGGCAGATATTTACTTTCCCTCAGCTGCTCTGCAGTAATGTTCCCTGTACTCTTTATTACCACACAGGGGGCACATCTACATGCCATTTACTGCAGAGTTGCCTAATTAGCTTTGCAGTAAAAGTCTTAGCATCTACATGTGGCCCTATTAGGCCATAGTAAACTGATAAATGCCACCATAGGTTAGTACTTGGAAATACAAGCATTATCCTGCAGCAGCATTATTTAGTGTGCCACAATGCACATGTAGATGCTGATGGGGCTGACTGGGGCATGAAGGGGCTTCAGTGTGGCTGGCCGTCCGCCCCACACTGGAGCACCCTTGTGCCCCAGCCAGCCCCTATGCAGCATGTTGAGCTGGGCCAGGGCAGCCCTGGGCTGGCAGGATGATCCCCTGGACTCCCTGCCAGCCAGGGCTGTTCCAACCCAGCTCAGTGTACTGCAGTCCCAGGCACACATGTAAATGCGGCACCTGGGAGCAATAAACTTCAGTGCAAACTATGCTGGTGTTATTCAATTGCATTAATAGCATATGTAGACATGCACAGACAGAGCTAAACCAGGGAAGTTTACCACTGAATGAAGCAGTGAGAAACTGTCCCAGTTTAGGTTTCACTTAGCTCAGGTTAATGACCAGCAAAAGGATAAAGTAATGTGCCGGTAACAGTGGGTAGACAAGATTCTTTGGGTCTAATAAAAGATATCACATTTACCAACTAAATAGTTGGAAAAATTGTTCTTTGCAAGCCTTCTGGCACAAACCCTTTTTCAGACATAGGGAGAGTCTGCTGGTGCTTTGTGTGCTCTCCTGGGTGGTATAGAAGCCAAAATCCAAAATGCAGGTCTGTGAAAATACAAATGCATGGCAGTGAGGATCAGAGGGAGTGGAAGACAATAGGTGTGAGAGGTGTGGGGAGAAAGAGAGGAATTTTGAACTGGTGACAGAATGTAGCTGGTAAAATGCAGACAGGTTACCTGGGGTTAACAGATGGCAAGCAGGTTATAATGTGTCATAAATTCAATATCTATATTTAGCCCATGATTTTGTATCCAGGAGATTTATGAAGCAAAGTTCATAGGTTCATCTATAAAAGGTGTTTTGTAAATTCCTTTTGAGGATTAGAACTGAGACATTGGAGAGAGAGTGGTTGTCCTGTGAGAAGTGTGCACCACAGGTACTTGATAGGGCTGTGCAAAGCTTCAGTATCTGATTCAATTTGGAGGAGATTCAGCCCAATTTGGTGTCCGAATCTCTGAATCAGGAGACCCATTCATCTCTCCGAATCGAATCAGAAGCCTCCAGATTAATTTGGAGAGATTCAGAGATTTGGCCATAGGACTGTACAGGCAGGCACTAACTAGCCAGTGCCCGCAGAAGTAGCTGGGGGAGTAGCTTGACCAAGCAGCCCCGGGAGAAGCTGCGGCTTGTTCAGCTGCTCCCCTGGCTGCCTCCCCGCTCCTCCACCCGTGCAGGGCAGGCAGTCCTGGGAGAAGCTGCAGGGAAAGATGGGGAATGACTGCGGACCTGGGGGAATGATTGGGAGCTGGGGGATTGAACCAGGAACTGGGGAATCCAACCGGGAGCTGGGGGGAAATGGTCGGGGGCTGGGTTCAATTCCCCAGCTCCCAATCATTCCCCCCACCCCCATGGCTTCTCCTGGGGCTGCCAGAACTGCCTGCCTCACCCCAGGGGAGGGCAGGAGGCAGCTAGGGGTGCAGCTGGATGAGCTGCAGCTTGAGCCGGCAGCCCCAGGAGAAGCCGCGGGGGGCTGTGGGAAATTGAACCAGGAGCTGGGGAATTGAACTGGGAGCTGGGGGAAAGCCCTTATTTCCCCAGCTCCTGATCATTCCCCCCAGCTCCCCAATCATTCCCTCCTGCCCCTGTCCTGGGGCTGCCAGCACTGCCTGCCTTGCCGCAGCGTGGGGGCAGCTGGGGGAGCAGCCGGACGAGCCACAGCTTGAGCCGGCAGTCCCAGAAGCCACAAGGGCTGAGGTGAATGATTGAGGAGTTGGAAGAATGATTGGGGAGCTGTGAGGAATGATCAGGGGCTGGGGAAATGAACAGGGGCTCCCCCCCAGCTCCTGTTTTGATTCTCTAGTTCCCGGTTCGATCCCCCAGTTCCTTGATGATTCCCCCCAGCACCCACAGCTTCTCCTGGGGCTGCCAGAACTGCCTGCCTTGCCCTGGCAAGGGAGCAGCCAGTGGAGCAGCCGGCCCAGCCACAGCTTCTCCTGGGGCTGTTGGCTCAAACCAGGACTAGTCCAGCTGCTTTCACCAGCACTGCCAGCCTGTATAGTCTACAACCGGATAAGATTCAGTGCCAAATATCTTTGGATTTGGCTGAATCGAATTGGAACATTGATTCAAATCACCAAATTGAATCACTGTCTCTCTGAATTGCCAAATCCGAATCAAATACTTCCCACTTTGTACAGGCCTAGTAATTGGCTATTTTTGTCCTCAATAGATTTGCAGTGTGTGTTCATTCTGGTACACAGTTGTTGTTTGATTTGTCCTACATATTTTCCATCATGGCGTTTCATGCACTGGATGACATACATTCCATTTCTGGAGGTGCAGGTGTAAGATCCAGGAATGGTGCTGGTTCCGTTGTGGGATGTGGTTATTTTGGGAATGTTGGAGATGTGTTGGCAGGTTTTGCATTTCCTGTCATGGCATGGTCTGGATCTATTCAGTATGTAAGAAGTTTGCTTCTGGTGATGATGTTGGTAAGGTTCAGTGCTTGTTTGAAAGCTAGGATGGGTGGTTCTGGAAAGATCTCTTTAAGAACTGGATCTTCTTCTAGTATAGGTTGCAACTGTTTGAGGATTTTCTATATAGACTCCAGGGAAGGATAGTATGTCATAACTAATGGTGTGCAATTCATGGGAAGAATATATATATATATATTTTTTTTTTTTTTAATTTTTCATGTTGTATCTGGGTGGCTCTTTTAAAAGTGTGATCTCTCTCTCTGGAGGAGTGTTCTCTTTGAGTGAAAGCTGCCTCACACCTACTGTCTCCTATTTCCTCTGATCCTCACTGCTATGCATTTGTATTTTCACATACCTGCATTTTGGCTTCTATTCTACCCAGGAGAGCACACAAAACACCAGTACACTCTCCCTATGCCTGAAGAAGTATGTTTGTGTCCAAAAGCTTGCAAAAAACAATTTGTCCAAATATTTAATTGGTCTAATAAAAGATATCACATTTACCTGAAGAATCTTGCCTGCCTATGGCTTTATACCAACATGACTACAACCAACAACACAGTAACAGTGGGTGAAACTTATCATCCCTTAGCAGCTTTTCAGTATCGGTTCATGTGTTCTCTACTCATGATAAGTGATTGCTCAATCAGGGGAATGTTTTAGCCCTGTTTAAATGATGGGTAAGCATCTTGACAGTAGCAGTAATAGTGCAGTTAGAGTAGACAGAGGAGATGGTCACTATGGAACAACTGTGGTATGGTAAAATTCTGCTTCCTGTTGACTATATAGGCTAAGTACAGACATCTGGAGGCATTTCCCAGCTCCCCCCTCCCTCACACCATGCCACAAGAGCAGCATCTGGGAACTTTTTTTAAGTCCCCAAATCAACTAACTGTCCCCTGCCCCCCTGTTTTCAGCGCCCCCTCCCTCCCCCTCCATGCTCAATAGTATGTATGTCCCCTTCCCTCCCCTGCCCACTGCTGCTGTTCCTAGCTGCTCCAGGGACAGGGGAATGCCAGACCCACTCCTGCCCCATTCCAGCTATGATGCACAGGAAGCTGGGCCCAGCAGCATCAGTGTGTGGCTTTCCCCTTCCTGAGCCTGCTCCTGGGCTGGCAGGGAATAGGGACAGGGAGGAGGAACCTGCCTGCACTGCTGCTGCTGTCCCCTTATGAGCCCAGCTGGAGTGGGGTAAGAGCAGCTCTGGAGCATTCCCCACCACTGGGGTGGCCAGAGACAGCAGGGAGTGTGGTAGCAGTGGGCAGGGTGGGGGAGTGAATTAGAGGGGTGGGGACATGCCACTGAGCATGGAAGGCAAGTGAAGCATGGAATATTACCTGCTTGGAGGACTTTAAAAAATCCCTGGCTGCTGCTCCTGTGCCATAGTCTGAAAGGGGAATGTCACTGTACCACTCCACCCCATCTAGATCTACCCCTATAAGTAGCATAGCAACTAGGAAAAGTTTGGGAACAGCTGGTTTAGTCATTCTTATATTTATAATGTGCCACATTCATAGGCCCCCTCCAGACATTATCACATGATTAACATATTAACTGTAACATTTTACAAGTTCAAGCAATTTAGCTTGTGATAAAAATGGTGAACCAGCCACAAAGGTGTTATTTGTTAAATGTGGAACACCCTGGTGGTTGGTTTGTATCATGCTTTAATAAAAATGTGTGGCATGTTAGTTTAAAGCATGCATGAGCAGACCTTGGATTTGGGATCCACTTCCTTGTGCCAACTTCCCATGCACCCTTTAAACTTGTCAGCATGCAGTGAACTCTGAACTGGTTCTCCAGTCTGGGGCTGCATATGTGCTCTTTAAATTTACAGGCACACAGGGAGCATCTCCCTGATCCCAGGTTCCCCATGGGCCAGCAGATGTGGGATGGATGTGAGGAGTTTTATCCTGGTTCCCAACAGTCACATGTCCTGCCATGCCCAACCTTGAACATCTGGGATAAAATTCCTTAGATCCCATGATAAAATTAACACATGGAGGGGCTTTAGTTCCCAGAATCTTTAAGGGACTTTTTATAGCAACCCAAAACCCAATCTTTCAGTCCTTGCTTGGGCAAAACTCCCACTGGCTTCAGGAATGACTTCCAATAAATGCAATTCTGAGGCACGTGTATTGAAGATATTATAATTTAACAAGATATTTATCTAGTATAACCTATGAAAGAAGCACCTCTACATATTAGCATTCCAGACTGAGTAGTTCAGATCACTGGCTTATATACTAATGAAAGTTTGAACAAAACCCTTCAGCTAATCAGAAATAGTCACTAAAAGACAGCTCTGTCTACCTTCTAAAAACACTGTATTCTATGATTGGTTGAAACAGCATTTGTTCTCCAAGCCAGTCAGAATACAGCTTTTCAATAATGGCACACTGAGCAACTGTCACTGCTTCAGAGCATCCATCAGGCAAAATGACAGCATCTGCATCATTAATCATTTCATATAATAGATATAAAGAGAGCACTGTCACATGATAAATGTCTCCCACTTTGAAAATAAACGTCTACTTTGCCTTGGCATTTATCAAGCAGAAGTTATGCAGTGGCAACATTCTATTCCATTGACATTATCTCAAAGGCCCCACATGGAAAATTCTGAAATTGCCTCTTTTGTATTTTTTTTTTTTGGTTGCAGAACCATATTCATCCTTGCTAATAAAAAAGAATGAGCAACGTGACATACAGAAAATGAAAATTAATTCCTTGCCAGTTTTATCCTTACTCAAATAGAGTTATTTGATAGTTCTCTTTTTAGAAACCAAGCATTGGCCATTCTAACTTGAAGACGTAGTTATTTTTTTAAAATAACTTTTGTTTAGATCTACATGCCAGCATAATACAGTGGCCAACATTTGCAAACAGGTGCCTAACTTTTAGCCACCTATTACTGGATTTAGATGTCTGACAGTATCATCTTTATTTTGATGTGTGGCAAGCATCTTTGATATGCTTGTAAATTGCTAGATGCACATGTTTGGGGGACAGGGGCTGTAAAAATTATTAAATTAAAATTAAATGGCAGGGTGAAAATATTTCAACATTCCTTGAAATAAGTAAGGGAGGTCTGGTGTTTTTATGCCTACTTTACAACTTCCTTTCCATTTCCCCAAAAGTAAACATCCTAAGACAGTGACTCACAACCATGGTGCTGTAGAACCCCAAGATCTTTTTAAGGGTGCTGCGAGGTGATGCTTAATGTTAGCACTGTTAGGTGTGCAAAAACCTACACATGATTCACAAAGATAAAGCCAAAAATTTCAAATAGGAATCCATTCAGATAGGGAAACATTCTAACCTGTTGTGGTTTTTCTGGGTTCTTTCCAACAGCAGAATTGTTCTCTTATTCTTCTATAGTAAAATGACAACTGAAAGCTAAGAGCTGGGATTTTTCAAGCAATGCCTTGAATCTAACCAGAGGTGCCTTGAGTTTTAATAGGTTGAAAACCACTGTCCTAAGACACTAGCTGTATTTAGAGTCCTAAATATGCATCATTTGTCCTCACTTACTTGTGTTTTTTCATCCAGTTGCATTTTTGTATTATTAATTTTATTTTGTGTTGGAGCCATTTTTTTCTGGTTTTCATTTTGTATTTGTAAAGGAAAACTGGTAGATGCTTGCAAACAACTTTCAATTTGCTCCTTCAGATTAGATACTTTATCCTGTAAAGAAATAATTCTAAACAAAGAACATAACTTGTATCTGTTACCAATGAAAATATATAAGACTTTTATATTTGACACATGTATGTCGTTATAGTTGTTTCTATTAATAATTAAACTAACAAGGGTCAGGATTTTTTTTTCCAATTTTTTCGGGTAGTTTCTTTAATTTCAAGTTTCATCCTGTATTTTGCACAACTGAAATTCTGAATGCAGTGGAAATAGGGGATGTGAAGCAATGCAGTACAAGGTCCTATGCAACTTACAAGAGGAACGGGAAGAGGTGATATTTTGAAAATAATTTGTAATTCCTTTTGCACAGCATATTCCATTGTTATTCTGCTGTCTTTTTGCTAGGTTGTGCATGCATGATCATAGACTAAAATGTACTAATTAAATTTAACTTTGTGATAATCTGGATTGGATTTAAAAGAATACCAGAAATGTTATTTTGGCTTGTGTAATAAAACTACGAAGTTCCTGGGCTTTACAGAGCAGGTGATACTCTCTTCCTCTGGAACAGTTTTCCTCCAGTGCTTGATTTAATCAAATTCAATCTCTCAGACAATGGTGCTTCCATCATTTTCCCTGAACAACTATCCACAGCCTGATAAATTAATAGTTTCCTGATATTCAGCCTAATATCTATATGTATATATATTTTTTACTTTATTTCATCTTGTTAATCTGAGCTATTGTCCCTTGTAGAACCCAAAATAACAGACCACCCTTTTTAGTATTTATAGCTCTTAAATACTGATGAATGGTTGCTATATTTCCCTAGCAGTCACCTGGCCCAGCCACAAATTATATACTGTACACATTACACACACACAATATAGCATGCAGTAACAGGACAAGGTCTGTGATTAATCACCTTGTCAGTGGAATCCACAAGTGGCCTGAAAATACATTGGCTGAATTGAAAGTCCTGATGTTGATGACCTTAACTTGCTTTGTATTATAAGCATAGAGCAGCAAAACCTGTGAAAAAAAGGAAATGTGTAACCTATAATGTAGTAGTGGTAAAGACATTTAATTATTTATTTATACAATTTGTGTGACTATTCATGTGCGTAAGTTAAATCGATGCAAGTAAATTAAGTCTAAGTGACTGTAGAATTGAGGCCTTTGGGCAGCACTGGTTTCTTTTCATTACTTTTCCATAGAATCCATTCTATTGTAGGTGCTACCAGGTACATAAGTAAATAATTCCTGTGGTTTTGGAAAGTAATCATGCTACATAATGACTCCTTCCTCCTGGTTCCACAGTTACATTCTGACCCCATTCAAATTCCAAAGTTTACAGAGTCCAAGTATTAGAAGCCACATGACATGTACAGACATCCGGTCCATGGTATAATACAATCAAAGCATATCAAAAGAAGTGAGGGTACATACAGACATTCAGGGAGGTTAGGGGGCAGTTAAATCAAGTTTAAAATGGCCACCTAATCTAAGGCAAACTGGGATAGGGGGACTAGGAACAGTCAGCATGGATTCACCAAGAGCAAGTCATGCCTGACCAATCTGATTGCCTTCTGTGATGTGGTGACTGGCTTTGTGGATGCAGGGAGACTGATGGATGTGGTGTACCTTGATTTTAGCAAGGCTTTTGATACAGTCTCCCACAGCATTCTTGCAGGCAAGCTAAGGAAGTATGGGCTGGATGAATGGACTCTAAGGTGGACAGAAAACTGGCTGGAGCAACAGGCTCAGAGTGTAGTAATCAATGGCTTGATGTCTAGTTGGCAGCTGGTATCAAGTGGAGTGCCCCAGGGGTTGGTCCTGAGGCTGGTTTTGTTTAATGTCTTCATCAATGACCTGGAAGATGGCATAGAGTGTACCTTCAGCAAGTTTGCAGATGACACCAAGCTGGGGGGAGTGGTAGATACACTGGAGGGTAGGGATAGGATTCAGAGTGACCTAGACAAATTGGAGGATTGGGCCAAAAGAAATCTCAAGAGGTTCAACAGGGACAAGTGCAAACTCCTGCACTTAGGACAGAACAAGGCCATGCACCAGTACAGGTTGGGGGCTGACTGGCTGGGCAGCAGCTCTGCAGAAAAGGACCTGGGGGTTACAGTGGACAATAAACTGAATACAAGCCAACAGCCTTCCCTCGTGGCAAAGAAGGCTAACGGCATACTGGGCTGAATTGGTTGGTGTGTTGCCAGTAGGTCAAAGAAAGTAATTATTCCCCTTTATTCAGCACTGGTAATGCCACATCTGGAGTACTGTGTTCAGTTTTGGGCCCCCACTACAAAAAGGATGCAGACAAATTGGAGAGAGTCCAGCAGAGGGTGACAAAATGGTGAGGAGACTGGGGCACATGACTTATGAGGACAGACTGGAAGAACTGGGCTTATTTAGTCTAGAGAAAAGGAGACTGAGAGGAGACTTAATAGTAGTCTTCAAGTACCCAAAGGGCACTTTAACTAAAGTTTGTTTGATGAACTTTAGTTAAAGTGCCTCCACTGCCATTTTTCAGTGCAAGGACACTGATACACATGACGCTCCAGGCTCTTGACTTAGAGTGGCTCTTGGAGCTGTTCTAATTAAAGATCCCTCCTCACCCCCCCAACTCTCGGAACACATGTACGAACACCCTCAGAGAGCAATCTTTGCTTCAGTGGTTGCAAAGCTATTTCCCAGCAGTAAATGAACATTTTTGTTGAAGGTATAAGAAATGCTGAGAAATAGGGATCAGGCACTGTTATGTACTACATATGTAATTTCTGAAGTAGCATTGGTTATTGAAGTTGAATACACTTCATTTTTTTTAAAAGAAAAACAATTCTAATATAACTCCTCTTTCATTTAACAATACCATCATTTCCTTTTCGTTTGAAGATTTCTCCAGAAATGGAAGGTACCACTGAATGCAAAGCTCCTTGTTTGGCGCATTAGTTGCCTTGATGTTTGTTGTACTCTCTTTGTCTATATCTGTGCTAAAGGAAACGGTGGATGATATTCTCACTATTGGCACTTTTTGTGGAGTTCCATCAGCTTCCACAGACATCTGAAAAAAATGAAACAAGAATGAGGATTTATAACTTATAATTTTTCCACCCAACATAAAATGTACTAAGCTAGAAGTTAATTGCACTCAACCTACATTGTTTTAAGTGCTACTGTCACTTCTGTTCCTCATATACTTATTAAGAAGTTCACATTCATTTTGCTCAACAGAGCTTTCTTAAAGTTCATATGTTGAGACATTTCCTATCATGAATAAACTAAAGAGTATTTGAAATTGAAATAAATCATTAAGACCCATGGGCTTCTTTAAATGCAATGGGAGGGAAGCCGTAATATGCACTGAGCTGCAGTACACTAAATACTGAGCATTAGATGGTCCACCAGAGCCATGTCCACACAGACAGCTGGCTCTTGTTGCAATCTGAATAACTTCTTCCTAATGGTGAGGACTTTCCGGGCAGTTACCCCTGCTCCCTTATTCTGGGGCTGGATCTGTTACATAGTGGCGTGTGTTTTTTCCCTCTGGCACATTCTGGGATACAAAGTAGAAGCCGGCTGAGACCAACAGGAATTATAGGTCTTGGGCTCAGACATTAAAAAGTGCCTTAATTCCTTTTATTGAACAATGATGCCAAGATTTTTCTGGCCAGCCAAAGTCATTTTCAAACTATTCCTGGCCAGTATGAACAAAACAGTGATAAAGGTCATCTTGCATGTGTGGCAGCTTGAGGTGAATTTAATATCTTATGCTGGGTGGCTGTGGCTATGCAAGTCAGCTGCTAGATTACTAAAACACCATTTAGTAGCAGGGTCAACAGCAGCGAGAGGATAAGGAAGAGGAGAACATTAACCAACTCCTTGTGGAAAAGCCTTTCTTGAATCACTTTCACTCAGTATGACACTATCCAGTCATGAAACAAGCACTGACTGTCAGAAGAGGATTTGCTGAAGGGCTAAAATGACTAGCAGTGGCTTCAGAATTTGAAGATGGCAAGGGCTCTCTTGGAGAGCTATGCAGAACTCAACCCAGAGGTGCATAACCATATGAGAACTCCCTTAGGCATTCCGAAGTGTGTGGCTATCATCATCTGAAAATTCACCATGCCTAAGTGGTATGATTCAGTATAAGCAGATTAACTATTGGGACTGCTGGGATGGAGATGTGCACTGCTCCTAAAAATATATTGTTGGCATGGATAATAAGGCTTGCCAGTGCTCAGCAGGTTATAAATGGCTTTCACACATGGGGCTATCAAATTGTACCAGGGCAACTGAGGAGAGCCACGTTCTCCTTCATTGCTTCTTGTGTCCGGACTCTAATTTCAGAAAAAGAAACAAGTGCTTCTCCATTATGATCCAAGTTCTGGTTCACCATTGTGGTAGTTTTATCAACATTAAAGAAGAGTGGCCTGGAAAGGTTTGGGATGCAAGACTCTTCAGGAACTCAAACCTCTTGCATTTAATTTAAAAAAGATAGAAATGCTATCACTATGAATATTAATGATGTTGATTAATGGTGTTATTAAAATTAACAAGCAGGATTAACAAATAGGATTGTTTTTTGTTCAGTTCTTTGGCAAACAATCTTGTTTTCTTTTCAATTTTGAGATGTTTTCAAGGCCTCTTTTCAGTAATAGCACAAAGATGGCACACCACTTGCTCTTTCTGTGCCTTGGAACCTTTATATGTTGTCCTGGGAAGTCAGGGTGTTTCAGGTTGGCTAAAGGGTCTGATGATCTTCTGTTGCTTTTCATAGCATGTCAATGAGTTGATAGGTAGGGCTGTCAGAGATGATGGTGGGATGGGCTGATTGTCTATTTGTAGAAGCAAGTTAGACGTTAAATGACCTCTACTACAGGTAGTCCTTATAATAAAGAATAAAATCATCAGTTACATGGACAAATATGACATGCTGCGGAAGGTGGCTCTTTTCCAGGTCTTGCTGAACCTCTGTCTCTTTCAAGCAGGTAAACAGATCCAGGATTTCTGCATAGCTCCACAGGCATGATATACTGTTTGTGTAAAGTAATTTTAGCTATAGTACACGTCTGTGATTCCAGAAGCATGTAACTGCAAATGGCCCAAGTCGGACTGTGAATAAGCATTTAAACCTCTGGCCAACACTAAGGTCACCCTCTGAGCAGTAGAGGGTAAACAGATCAACAGACCAGTCAGTCCTTATGGAATGCGAAGTAGTGAGAGATAGCAGATGAAGAACTGTCAACTTAGTGTAAAGTACAGATGCACACATGAGAACACAAGTCCGAACTAACCTAGCATACAGTAAACTCAACAGACTTTCAAAAAGAATAGATTATGCATTATCTTGCTAGTTAGTATTCACTAAGAATTGTTTTGTGTGGATACATGCTATTTCAATTCACATATATTAAGCTTAGTGTTAGCTATGCCATCCCCAGTATAGAAATCATGTTCTTCTAGGGTCCCTCTTGCTAAAAAATAATATTTGACATGCCAGTCATATGGAAATTTAGTGTTGAGACAGTAAACCAATTTCCTTAAAGGTTAATAAGTACAGTAGTGAATTTACTGCTAGACTAATGCTGCATATAATATTTAACTGCTTTACCTTTGCACTGGTTGCAGACTTGGAGATGACACTTTTTCACAAGTAAAATAATTTAATTAGGGCAATTTGCCGCTCAGTCTTCAATTTTAGTAGGTTCCTCCCATAATAGGCTGAGGGACCAGCAAGAAAACCACTCCCTGATCAAACATCATTTATGAATCAAAGCGACTTTTTAATTGTAAAGTACCGGTACTTGATTTAAAAGAGTGCAAAAGCACTTTGTTCAAGGATTATGTAGATCCATAATTGGAAGGCCAAACAGTGAAGTCTTTCAGAATGCTAAAGCTGATTGGAAATGTTACCACCTCTGGCACTTTAACAATGGGGAAAGCCTTTGGAATTTTAACATTTTTAATCCCAAGAAGTAGAATTCCGTCAGTATTTATACATAGCAAGAATTTTTTAAGATATCTCTCTGTATTGAACACAAGTTTCTCAGTCTCACTTTATGAGGCCAAATCCTTGCCTAAACACAACAGAATGGAAGTGCAGATAAAAGGGAAAAGGATACCAAAGTTATGCATGGTAGGAGTGTGATACGTCTGACACAAAGATACTCAAGCAGTGGACCAGGCCGTGAAGAGGGTCTGGCTCTAGTCAGTGCATCCATGCCCACACAAATCCTGTTTGCCAAAAATCACAGGCAATTTTGACTTCTATATCTATACAATTTTGCAATACCTAGAGTCCAGGCTATACAGCATGTACAGCTTAATTATGGACCTATAACACTTTATAAACCTTTTATAATGTGTAGTTTTACTGTATCACACAGGGCTGCTTGGCCTATTTTGTTTTTAACTGTACTGCATCTTCTCTTCTTGTTTACATCCCATTAAACTTCTCTAAGAAATGACACCAGAGCTCCTCCTGTCAAACTGACGTATTGGATGACATACATTAATATTTATCTACTCAACTTTCTCAAAATGCTGCAAACAACAAACTACTGTGTCTTTTAAATACTTCTAGTTCTATACACCGTCACTAAGCGAAATAAATTGTGAGCATGAAAAATGCAGTAGTGGGCATAATTTTAATTATAGTCTTTTTTAAAATTTTAATGCAATTTGTCTGTATTCTTTGTTCAATAAAGCTGAAAAACCTTCAACAGATAAAAAAAAAGTTACACAGATATACATAAGTGAAGACATCCTGTACATAACAATGCTCCTTTCAAAAAGTTGCCAACCTATTTGTACTTTAAAAAAAAAAAAAGGTATGGGTATCCAATTACAGGAGTAATTTTTAAAAAATAACTCATACAGTCTAGCAAATGATTAAAGCTTCTAAAAATGTTGTTATAAAAATCAATGAAGCTTAGAGTTGATAAAAAAAAAAATCAAAAAGCTTTATGCTTGTTAGCTGTCTACAATAGTGACGCTAACACATGATTATGCTGCTTGCACCTGTCATGAACATGACAGTGATCTCTAGAGCTTATTATTCTAAGATAGTGTAATACTAATTATATCAAAAGAAGAGCCGACAGAGTGAAATAATTTTTGATATACGATGGCTGTTATAAATGTCACATACCATATATTTACAATTTATTCAGTGGCACAGTTAGCATTTTGTTGGGAACTGAGTAATGATGTGCTGTCCAACACTGTAAGAAAGTTCACCAACTCTAGAAGAGCTATATTCACAGAAGCAGTTTAAATAAGAAGGATAAGACAACACCTTCTTCCAGGCATTTAAGAATACACTGAACATGGGTAGTAAAAATAACCCATAAAGAATTACCTGTCATTTAGTGTTATAATGATAATTGTTATTCGTGTTCAGGTGAGCAATGGGATGGGACTACTGGGAGGAAAATGATGTTTAATTTTATATTGAGCCTTCAAGAACTGTAAAATTCCACAGGCATGTTACTATTATTATAGACCCTGCACTGACAAGTGTTCAAGCTTGCTATGGGTGGTATGAGTACACAGCTTTATTTATATTTGAGGTCCAGAGTGGATTAAGTACCATGTTTGTTTGCAGTCTTCAGGCTAAAAAGATTGACTGTAAAACCACCAACTCAGCTAAACTAATAAATATATCGGCAATTGTAACATATCTTTTAAAGGATGCTATGAAGGATTTTTAGATAAAAATATATACTACCTTTAATTCTTTTTTCTTTGAAAAACATGTTTCAGAATATTATTTGCCATATACCCAAGTCCAACAGGATAGGAAGTTTGTATGTTTTAATAACGTACTTGCATTTTATGGCATTTTGCTGCATGAGGTTTTGACAAAAGGATAAGGCAGAAGTACTGGTCTTACCAAATAATATGGGCAATTTTTTAATCACATTTTTCCATTAAGACATAATCCTATATAACTACTGCTCTTTTTCACCACTCAGTAAATAATGTGCATTCATTGTAAATCATTCTGGGGCAGTGTTGACTCCTAATCATCACTTAAATCCCTACACTACATATACAGTCTTTAAGTGCTGCGCAGGCCTTGTGAATTTCACCCTTATAGAAGAACTTGTAAGAAATAGCATACCAGAGTGCCCACAGATCTGAATTATTAGGACAGGAAAGTGCTACATCTGTTTCATGGAACTACATATTTAAAAATTACCTTTACAGGATCAGCCAAACTAACAACTGGTTTTTCCAAACACCGCAGCTCTTTTGGAAAATCATCAAGACAACATGTTGAATATAAAGGTAAGTGTTTTTTGAGGAAAAGATGCATTTCTGTCAAGCGCAGAACAATTCCTGTATCAAACACAGAGGTGAAGAATGCATCTCTTGCAGGTAATGATCCAGGTCCTGATTCAGAGACAGATTTGGGAAAATAGAGTCTTTATTTACTTGTCATTTGTCACTTAGAAATATAAAGCTTTCTATCACTGCTTCATATGTATATAAACCAAAAAATATGTAATCCATTATTTAAAGATATTTGAATACAAATGTGTAAAAATACTCAGAGCCATGCTTGTATTATTTTCAGACCACATGTGAGGTTCTTGACAAGTCCCTCCTCCATTAGTGCACTCAGAACAAGTGCAAGGGTATCTCAGCCTGGCACTGTGTTGCTGCCATACAAACATAATGCAATGACCATATGCAGCTCATCAGCCCAAGCTTATTGCACAAGCACGGTGCCCTACTGATGCAACTTCAGTTCTGGATCTAGCATGATTGTAGCCCCAGTAATAGTGTAGCCTGTGTAGTTGCATTGGGCACATCACCCAAATTGCAGCTTCATGAGTATACCTTTCAAAAATGTATACTTAATTATTATTGTATTATATAATAGAGTATTAGTGTCTGAGGTCCACTAAAGGACCAGATCACTGTTGCACTGGTACAAACATAACCAAAGTACCATAATGGCCTTTCAGTTCCGTGACAGCATACAGCGCTTATCTTCCCTTCAGTGCTACAACAATAAAATAATCAACAACTAAAGAGGCATTTAAGAGCTGCTCAATGGGAAGAAGAATCCACCCCAAGGAGTTAGGTAGGGGCACAGACCGAGACAACAGTTGGGGATAACGAAGACCAACACTGGAGTCTGGGAGGTTATATCTCATCTGACCTTGAATATCAAATCACTACTGATGCCTCCATAATTACAAATAGTTTTAGTGTCTAACATGACTATGTAAATAGTCATAAGAATTCAAATTTCAAAAGCCACTTTTAGTAGCAAGGCTAATATGCGGTAACACAAAAAAGAATCACAACATGGCAAAGCCTGATTCCATGTTCATTTACAGTGGCTTGAAACTGACATATATCCACTGACTTCAGTGAAATCCTCCAAGCTTCTAGAAATAAGAAAAATGGACCATCTCATACCAAATGCAGGGCTTGTGCTGTTCAGTTGTTTTAAGTAATTATGGTAGCGAACTAAATGGACCCATGTTATAATTGGTTTGCTCTGCCTGCCTGTGGAGGCACCGCATTGTGTTGCTTCATTTTCTGTTTGATCCTTTTCACGTTGCATGTTTTCTTCTCTTTTTACGGAAGAGGCCAGAAGGTTTTTATAGACAACGTCATAGCCATCTGCAAATTCAAAAACAATTAAACCTAACTACAACCATCTTACTCAACCAAAAGTCTGCAAATTTATAAACTAAGAAGCCTGTCTCAAAATAAATAAATTACAATGCACACATGAAAGGGACTTTTGCATTATAATAGCTATTTCTGAATCTTAGACTGGAATTGGTTATCTATATGGGAAAATGTCACCTGTGACCCCAGCAGTATAGGTTTCAAGGGGAAAGGCAGCAAAGCCATTTCCAACATTGACTTAACACTCTGAAGAAAAATATTCTAACATCAAGGAACAGATTCTGTCTGGTCCTTGTGAATTCAGGCAGGGGAAGGGGTAGAATGGATGGAATGGAGCTCTGAGCTGGGGGTTGCCCAGCCTGCACTGGAGGGCAGGTGGGGGGATTGGAGCCCTCACTTGGGCAAACCCAACCCCAGAGCTCCATCCCATCCTTTCTACCCTCTCTCATTGTGCAGACAGCACCAGAGCTGAGGGGATTTAGGGGGCTAGGGGAGAGAGGCTGCAGACATGCAGCTCCTCCTAGATCGGCTCCAAAGTGGAGCTCAATCCCTCACCCCCCCAGCCTAACAGGGAACATCTGTTGGGTTGGGGCAAGGTTTGCTCTAACTCATGGCACTTTCTGTAAAGCACCATGAGTTACAGTGGGAAGCTGTGTGTCTGTCAGCACCCAAAGGTTTAGGGGAGCCACCCTATTCTGTGCCAGCACAAAAACCAGGGGAATGGGCTATATTCAGTAAAGGAGTAATAGGAAATGGAATGCCTCTGCAGCTGAAAAATGTCTACTGCAAGCAGGCTTCCCATTTTTCCCTGGAGCAGTGTGACTCTCTGCCTTAGGCTGTACTTAACAGACACAAACCAATCCTAAACCTTAAGGATAGATGCTGTCCTGTTCTGTATGCCATGAAGTACATCAACTTGATAAGGATTAAGACTAAAACACCCTTAACTCAGCATGTCTACACATACTTATTAATATGCAGCAATAAACTCACGAACTCCCAGGTGTGGAAGCTAATTAGTCTACATCTCGTGTAGACATGCCCGCTGTGTCTCAAAATTATTAAGCATGATGCCATCCAAATGCGGGTTACTATTTGTTGATATGCTTTTAATTTAATCTTACAATTTTATGTTCTGTAATTTATATAGTACATTTTTATTAATCTCTTTACCTTATCTTTCATAGTTTGACCAAGCATATTTGAAGATCCTATTTATCTACAAATGTATTTAATTTATTTTCTCTTTTCTCATTCCAAAGGGGCCAATTTCTATACTTCTTGATCTAATGAAGCTACCATTGGCCTTTATAGCACGTTTTCACTGTCCAAGGGGTTGTTCCAAGACTTGTTGCAATATATTTGCTGCTCAGTGCCTTACTATGTTTTCTGTTAACAGTTTCCCTCTCTGGAAAGCTCTGTCATTCCCCATAAGATTTTTCCATTTTGATATTTTTAGCTAAACTTCTATTATCTTGGTTCCTTCTTTTCTGGGGCCCTGATCCTGCAGCTGAAGGCACATAGGCAGATTACTGGACATGCATGAAATCCTGAAGTCAGTAGCCCTAAAGGGACCCAGCACTCCACCTGTTTGGTCAGAAGCAAGATAAGATCCTGACTTTTCATTCTCATTGGGCAGTATATTTTTTTGCAGTTCTTTATAAAAATATATCTTTAATAATTCTAACTCCATTTTCTTTTAAAATTTGATTAACCATTTGTTTCAGTTAAATAAAGCCTGGTATCATTCTGGTCTTTATGATGCACTGCTCATCAAATTAGATTAGCCAGCCCTGAAAAGTCATAAGCACATTGGAATCTTTAATAAAGTCCCAGATTACTTGTACAAATTAAACATATCTAACACTTCTTATCTAAATGATCCTGAAAGATCTCTTCCTACAAAACTCAAATAAAATGGACAGGAGTTCTGCCTGTAGTGTGCTTGCAAGACCAGTCTCCTTACTTATTGTTTCAATCCTGAACATTTGACTAACAACTGCTGAAGAGTCTCTGGCAAGCTCCTGACAGCTCCTTTGCCAACCTCAATAAGAAAGTAACTGGTTGCCAACTGACAATTCAGATGGCAGCATCTGTACTCAGAAGGGAGTGGGTCAGAATGATCAGAAGGAGGATGGGCCTGTGCTCTGCTGCCATGGAGGCTAAACCATTAAAAACTTTAAGAGCTGGCTTCACCAGTCTTGAGATAACAAACTGGGACCCAGGAGTGAGAAAATCATGCACAGGTGGTACCTTTAGAGAAGTTATTACCAACACAAAGTCCTCAGATAGCACTGAAGTGTTTGTAATCCACACTGTGGAACACTGGAGACTGTGCAGTGAATTATACCCTAGTATTTTTTAGCATAATGGGGATCCTTGCAGCTGCAGATCTGGAAGCATATCTGAACTATTCTTGATTTTAGCAACACAGTTTTACTTTCTATTTCAAAAAGATATTTATTTCTGTAGAATTCCTGAGAGTTGGCAGATAAAACTATGAAAGATGGCCCTCCTAATTCTACTGAGAGAAAATGATTCCTTGTCAGCTGTGACCCAGTTTTTGTTAGACCTCACCACTACAACGTCTGTCAACCTGTTTTAGTATTAATTCTTAATGGTAATCTCCCAGACAAAAGTTTACATAAATTATCTGCGCATACAGAAAAATATGTAATGCCTCCATTACTCCTATTTTCATTTTTAAGGTCTTTTTACTGTCAATTGTAAACACAGAATGTATTTAAAATGTTCAGATTGCACATAAGTGCAAATGTAACCATTTCCTTCATTAGTGCCTCCTAAGACAGTACTTTGCATGTTGTGTTGATTGTTTTAATTTCAATTCTCTCTCTAATATTTTGGCTTAGTATTTCCTTTGTGCATCTTCCATTCTCCTTGGCATTCCCTCTCTAAACCGTCAGAACAAGCACCTGCAACACTTGCTAAAAGAAAAATGATCAGCAATTATAACCAAATGGAAGTGGTGCCAGATAATCAGATTAATGGAAGACAGTAGCATGCAGCACATGTTTTTTATAAACCAATTATTATACATCTCTTCACCACTGGTACAGCAAACAGTCATTGCTCCACTTCACCAGCCTCTATTACACAAAATAATTCAATCTATGTCATTCACTGGTATAACTGAAATTAGGTCATTGGAACAGAATTTTATCAAACATCAAGGTTTCCTGCTTTAAAACATCCCTGTTTTGCCTTTGTATTCCTCAGCATCTGGAAAAAAACATGACTCTACAATATCTTATTTCAAAAGTCTTTTCTTAAATTTAAAAAAATGCCATTTTATCATTTTTAATGAACCTTGTTGTTTGTAAAATAATTTTAGAGGTTGGGAAAAAAAACACTCCTATTGCTTTATCCCATATGATTTAGCAAACACAGGTGTTTTTAAACTTTATTTCTCAAGTGGAACTTGACTGTGAAAGGTTTGCTTGTATATTTCACCATTAGATTGATCCTAAGATCAGCAGTTACATGAGAACGATTCTATCCTGCCTAAACTGGAGGCTTGGACTAACTGACCATCTGCAGTTCTTCCCAGCATGAGTTTTCTATGATTCTAAGAAACAACCAATATAAAATCAAGACACATGATTTTTATGTAAGACTATGCCAAAAATTTACTAGACATGTATACATTTGTCTGGCCTCAAAACATAATGGTGGCTTTCTAACATATTGACCTCCAGGTAATGGGTCAGATTCTATTCCACATATTAACGGACTTAGGGCGTGTGTGACTAGGGACCCAGTGAACAGGGACTGCCAACAGGGGAGCAGTTTTCAAGCAGTTGCTGGAGGCAAGAGGAGGGAAGAAAGAGGAGGAGAGAAGCCAGGCCAGGCACCACATCCTGTCCAAGAAAGGTAAGTGATCCAGCTGCCTGCACCTTTGGTTTAGCTGACTGTTTGTTTGTTTGTTTGGGGGGGGGGTGTGATCTGAGAAGCTGGGAGCGAGTGCTAACTGCTGAGTAACTGTTGATTGTTGTGGGATTGCTGCCTGGGCCTGAGTCAGCCCCCAGGCCCAGAAGGGTATGAAAGGAAACTCTCCAGATGATCAGGGAGTCAGCAAACAAGAACTGCCAACAGGAGAGCAGTTTGCAGGCAGTTCACAGGCCAGTTCATGGGTAGGAGTACACATTGTGTAGGAGTACATGGGAGCTTCTGATAGAGACTTCAGGTAAGTGAATGAAGAGGGAGGCTACTATGGGGGTGGTGACACGGAGTGCAGCCAGGGACCCTGCCCTGCTGCTGCCTTTGGCCCGGAGCTCCTGTGAAGCCTCCACCCAGACAGGCCCCTTGGATGGTCAGCAGTGCCCTGGCTCCCTGTCTGTGGGAGCTGCCTGGCAGGACCTCTGAGGCCTGGGGGTAACGTGGGGGCCTGGGGTTCCCTGACCTGTCCCACATGTGCCTGGACTAAGGCCCTGGAGGGGCATGTGAGGAAACTCCAAGCAGAGATAAGTAGGCTGTGGGGGACGAGATTGATGGATACTTTCATTCTCTGCAGGACCAGACACCTAACACAGAGACATCACGGGAGAGTCCCAGGACAGCTGAATGGAGGATGGTTGCCTCCAGAGCTAGACAGCATGCGGCTGTGATTGCTTCCCCAATGCAACTGGGGAACAGATACAAAGCCCTGGCAGCACTGTAGGATGATGCAGCAGAGGAAGCTGCAGGGGAAGACACGTCTGCAACAAACACCAGGCAGGCTGAGCGAGAACCAAGCAACTGGAGGAAGACACACCAGGTCATCGTGGTGGGCGACTTCCTCCAGAGAGGCACAGAGGGGCCTATCTGTTGACTGGATCCCACAGCACAGGAGCCAAGATCCAGGACATCACTGCAAGGATTCCCAACCTCATCCAACCCTCTGACTACTATCCCATGGTCCTCATCCATGTGGGCATGAATGATGCGGCCAGTAATCCAGACTATGTCATGAGTGACTACAGGGCTCTGGG